CGGTGAAGGAGGTATGCGTTCTCTGCCTGGTTCAATTGCCTGATATGATTTAGGTCGATCTGAGGAAAAGAAATGGAATAAGTAAAACCAACTCGTGAAGATAAATACCTTCACCTTTAATTTGTTCTATGTGTACAGTAGTGCCAAACCTTTTGTTATTCTATTTAAATTATGATGAATTGGCCCAGAAGACTGGATGTCTTTTGAGGATGGATCTGCTACATGGAAGGAAGTAAAGACTAGAAATAAGAAAATACTATGGAGTCTTATTCGGTTCTCTTATGGATTCACAGGACAGAATGTCAGTAAATTATATCACATCTTATTTATTTGCCCTGCTCTGCCACTGATATAAGAGCAGCGAGAGTAAAATTTTGTGAACACTTCTCACTAATAAGCACTTTCCTCATCTGTACTCATTTATTCATCAAATACATGCTGCACATCAGATGCTGTCCTGGATCTTATTGGAATTACAAATCTAAATTGCAAATAAATCCTAATCTTAACAATCTTATAGTAGAACAGGATACATATACACCATAACAGTATAAGTGCAAATTATGGCAGTTACAAACATGACTCTTACATACCCTTTGAAACCCAAATCTAAAGCCTCCTCCTCAATGAAGACTTTCTCAAATCCCCCGGGATAAATATATTGTCTTTCTCTGCAGACATGACCTATGCTCTGAATTTCTATAATTTGTATCCATATGAATACAGTGGATGTTTGTCTGCCTTATGGAAATACAGGCTCTTTGGAGAAGGAACATGTCTCAGTATCCTTTGTACCTCCACCACGACCTTGCCATAGAAAGCTGGAAGCAGCCTTTCTAGTACAGTGAATGAATAAGTGAATTAACAAGTGATGCAAGCTAGAAAGAAGGTTTGAGGGGAACAGATAGCAAGGGAAGAGCCCTGGTAGTGGGCCATTTTCGGTTGTAGATAACAGTTATGCAGATGCATTCAAAGACAGTAAAAAGAACATGAACTTCAATGTGACTTAGGGAAGCTAAATAATGGTAACTTTCATTAAGTAACCACATGCTAGGAATTGTTCTAAGTGCTCTGTTTGTATTATCTCACCTATTCCTCAAGATGAGTAGATTGACTTATTTCCATGCTACTGGAGAGGAAACTGAGGCACAGGGAGGTAATTGTTAGGTGTAAGATTGTTAGTTATTTTTTAGGTATAAGAAAATGGTAATAAAACCAGGATTCAAGTTCCGAACATTCTTAATTGCTACCTAATTATATGTAGGTAATACACTTCACCCTGAATTTTTATCTATAAAATGGTCTCTGCAACACCTTTATGATCAGATTGTAATAATTCAATAAAGTGAAATATACAAATTGGCAGGTATAGTGCACAACAAATTATTTTTACATATATTCTTATTAGAATAAGAATCATACAAATCACTTATTAGAGTAAGAATCACTTAATCATACAAAAACATTTAGTTTCAATGTTGCATTTTCATACCTGCTTATAGTATGTTTTGGCCATATCCATCTCCTCTATTACTTGTCTATGCACGGAAATTATATATCTCAATAACTATTTTTCTAACAGTCACAAGTCTTCTTTTAAAGCAAGTTTTGAACATGTTATATAACAAGACCGGAACTTCTTGTGTCATTAGAGGTAGAGTTGGAATTGTTTCCTTGGACTAACTTATCACAGGTTCCAGTAGAAGAAAATGTGAATCAGCATTACAGGAATTTCTGAAGCATGGCTTTTCCAGGAGATCTAAAAAAGGGTCAGCCTGACTCTCGGCCTGCTGGTTGACTTGTTCTATAGAAAACTTAGAAGAGGCTAGGCAGAATACTGATTATATAAAAAGAAGCCTCTTTTAGTGTAACTATAGTGACCAGTCACTTTCACTTAAATAATGGGCCGATTTAATTAGTCAGGTGGAGAGTGTGCTTCCCGACAGATTTCAGGATGGAGACCTTCAGTAGAAGAATGCAGAGTCACCGCGGTACTTAGGTTCTTAACGCTACAGTAGGACGATGTGAATATCCCAGCCAGGGAGGCCACTTCCAGTCTGCAACAAGTGAGTCAGGAAGGAGTCTCTGATCCTATTTTGCCTAGTGTCTAGATGGCTCTGGCTTGTGAGGGGTCCAAAAATATAGAAAAGGCCTTAAAATACACTGGATTTATAAATTACAGCTATAAAATAAATTGGAGGAGCAAAAATATCATTAATGTCATTTCACACATTTAAAAAAAATAAATGGAGTCAGCCAGATAACTGATACATCAATGTCATCAATTTCCTTAAACACTGGATTTAGAGTTGCTTCAGCCTAACATCTTTTTGCATATAGACACCAAATATGTGATACCCCCCAAGTTTGCTTCAATCCTGTTTAAAATAACCAATATTCACCACTTCCTATTTAGGTGTATACCAGTATTAAACAGATTTCTAGATGAATTATTTCACTTAGGCCTAGGTTAGTTTGATTTGTTTTTTCTAATGCCATATAAGTTTACAATTTCACACAAAATTACTGTATTAGTTGTTTCCTGTCACTGAGTCATAATCCCTCATGCCTATGATTTAAAGAAGGAGGGGTTTAATTTGGTTCATTGTTTGAGGCATCCAGTGCCTAGTTAGGTGACTCAAGGGCGGGAATTCTGTTTATGGTGTCAGTAAGCAGAGCAGGCAACAGTGTCAGAGGAAGGGGCCAGGAACCAGACAGAGTACCCAAGATCACGGCTCTATAACCCAGCCAGACACATCCAGACTGTGTTTTACTAATCCTCTTGGGGGCGCCCAACTCAAGTTGACACAGTCGAGTTCATTCACCACAATTACATTTGGATAAGAATTTCTTTTCATGCTTGTTTGATAATAATCTACTTGTTGCTTTTCTGTTTTTAAAATCATAATCAAATTTAAATTTGGCCGCTAACTTACATTTTTCTCTTCTTTAGTAGGATTCACAATCCACCCAGCTTTTCATTTTTAATATACTGAAAAAAATGAGAATATTAATTTCCTTTTTCTCCACAACATGTTGCTCCAATCAGAGCTGTGTAAGTGAATGGATAGACAATCTAGACAACAGGCTAGTTTTATGTGTCAACTTGACTGAGCAATACCTATATGGTAAAATACTGCTTTGTACATTTCCGTGAGAATATTTTTGTATGAGATTTACTTTTAAATTAGAGTAAAGTGAATTACACCTCACATTGTGGGCCTCGTCTAATAAGTTCTAGTCTTTCAGAGAAAAAAGACTGACCTACCATGAGCAAAAGGGAATGCTACCCCAGCGTGTGATCCAACTCCTAAGGTCCAGAGAGTGTTGGTTCTTCCCTGGTTTCTACTCTGCCAGCCCATTTTATGGTGTTTGGACGTGTTAAGCCTCCATGGTAGCATGAGCTAATTTCTTCAAATGTCGTTCAGCATATGGAGGCTGGATTGGGTTGATATTTTGAAAGACCCATAATACAACAGTATTCTTTAGTTTATAATATGTGACCAAAGAATGAAACTTTATAGTAGCAAAATGTATTAAACAACAAAACACTGGCACCTCAGTTCATGAATGTTTTTGTTTGCAAGCATTTGGTTAATTTTGTTTGTTCATTTGTAAATGCTTCATCAGGTGCCAAAAACGACTGTGGCCATCTTTCTGACACAAACACAAACATGGCCATCTTTTCCAAATCATAGAACAAATTAACTTTGTGAATGGAAGTACCACTGTATTTCTTACTAAACAACCACATGACTTATCTTCTTTCCTTATCCATTCAGTTATATTCTTTTTTTTTTTAACTTTTTTTATCTGGCGCTGATGATCAAACCCAGGCCTGCACACAGTAAGCAAGCACTCTATGCTGAAGCACACCACAGCCCCATCCAGTTATATTCTGATTCAAAACAAAAAAGATGTCTGTGTTATTGGAAATAGATACCAGTTAGCATAAGAAGTTATAATGTATTGTGTTGGGGAGCGGTTGAGGCAGGATCTTGCTTTGTAGTTTAGGTTGGCCTTGAACTCACTAGGTGGCCATGGGGACCCTCCTGCCTCAAATTCCAGAGTCCTGGGATTGCACATGTGAGTAATTATGCCCAGCTGGAAGCATGTCTTTAAGCTATGGGATAGGAAGTGGGTAATTCTGAATTATCACAGGTATCTTCCTTGAGAAGAAAGTGATGGGGCCAAAGTCTTACAGTGCAGCTTCTTGGCATTTGTTCTCTCTGATTTATTTGCTGCTCAAAAAGTGCTTAAATTAATTTTAAGATCAACCAAGGTCTTGAAAAGATGCTCCAGCTTATCTTAGAGAAGTTCATGAGAAATTGTCCCAGAGAACAACTGACTCAGGTGTATGGAGAGAAATAGACTTTTGAAGATAAGAATTTCACTCATCTATGATGTGGGGGGCAATCTTGGTGATTGGTTATAATATCTCAGCACTTCTCAAACTGGTATTCCATGGATATATGGATATTCATCAGGATAAATGTGGCTCACTTTTCTCTAGAGCCAATTTTTCAGCTTTGTGGAAATCAATGTGCTTGGTCAGTATGCTAAGATAGTTATTTCATATCAAAACAAACATCAATGTAATATGGAGCACAATGCAAACATTTACAAAACATCTAAATGGCTTCTGGTGAGTTCCTAGCCACCGTCTACTCCCCCATGATTTAATATTATCTCCCTTGCACTCAGCAATGAGCCTTTGATGGAAAGAGTTTCAAAAGTGTGGTCTTAAAATACACTGGCTTTAGAACACAACCAGTATTGAAGAAAAAAGGAGAGTACCAGTTCCATTTGAGATGTCCGTTCCTTGAATTAAAAAATGAACGAACTCTCTCAAAAGAAAGCCAGAGCTATGAATGGAGTATAAAGACAATATTTTTTTTGTTTTGTTTTTGCTTTCCTTTTTTTTTATAAAAGTCTTCTTTTTGATAAATGTTATAATAGGCTTTATTTTAGTTCTCATTTCCATTTATTGAGAACTTCTAATTCAAGGTCTCTATTTTGGTCTTCATAATTCTCCTTTTAACAACTCCATCAAAGAGATATAGTAAGTAATCTGATAAACACACAGAGATACCCCCCAGGCCTTCACAACCCATGGTTTCTGCTTGTGGCCACAATGGCTCCCATCTTTGTTCTCCAGCATGAATCAGTAAAGCGCATTTACTGGGCAGTAGACATGCCAAAGCTGAATGAATTCATGTCTAAATAATGCTGTGCAGCTCTTTTCAAGGAAATCCAGGTTTCACGAACCTGCAAGGAGAGGAATACAAGTCTTAGTCTCTCAGTATGTAGAAAACATGTTGCTTTGATTGTTCAGATTATTGTACAGATATTCCTAAAAGAATAATAAAACTTTTATGGAAAAATAATACAAATTATGATTTAGTTTTTACACTTTTAGTTATCTGTAGTTGTCTGCTTATTTCACTGTTGAAGTGTGTTGTAGTTTTTGTGGGACCACAGTAGAAATTGAAACTTTAGTCTTGCTATGTTTGTAGAATTTTTTCCTTGGTTACAAAAGTGGTGTACAATTAGAGGCAGGACTTGAAAATTTCAACATTCTGAAGAAAAGACACAGTTTGTTACCTTATGTAATTATTTAATTTTCCAAATAAGTGTTGGACAAAAGTATCTTATTTTATACTATTTGAAAAAACAGGCATAAAACCAGATGCATTATTCAAGCTGGTGATTTTCATCAGAATAATTCTGGGCAAAAACAAGCTGAGCCTGGTAGACCAGTTAAGACACAGCCACATCAAGTAAGGGTAGGACTAAGACTCCATAAAGGCAAAGACATTTGATTTTTTATGACTTTCTATAATTTTCATACCTAGTGATGGTAACAACCTGATACATGTGGAAAGAATGATGAAATGAAGGAATTAAACAAGTCATGACATATAGCTTTATTTTCTAAATTGTTGAATTATGAGGGAAATCATGTGTCACTGAAATGTTAAGATAATTCAGCAATTTCATTTGATCCAGAATTACAATGTATTCTTCCATCAGAAGAGTACACATGAGATAAAACTGGATAATGAGAATTTCCTTATTTCTGAAGTGTCAATACAAATGAATAGGAAAGTGTACAAAAGGAAAGCAAATGAAGAAACAACAGTTAAAGCCCCAGATAATTATCGCAGAGAAAAATTAGCTACAAAACAAATGAGCAAACTGTAATAAGACCATTCTCCATTTATCCATCTCCCAAAACACATAATAATTTATTTAGCTATGTAACAGTCACTTTGCCATGTCCAAAGAATCATTGGCTTGATGGATAAGTTATGGACCTCACCTTTGTATTGTAGTTATGCACACTATACAAGTAATCCCACTGTGACATTTTGAGAGCTAGTCACATAGGAACAGTGTGCAAAGGGGAGGGAAGAAATAAGGGCTAATGTGTCCTTGAAAGGAAAGGAAGATTTTGGAGGGGAGAGGGCATTGAGCTTAGTCTTTAAGCAGGATGAGGCATTTATCAGGCAAAAACCACTTTATGGGAAGGAAAGAGCAAGTGTAGCTCAGAGAAGAGAAAGATAAAAAATTAAGGCTAGGTTAGCTGTATCTTCATGTTAGCAGATGAAAAGCTCTTTTAAACCCATTTCCCATTTAGAAACAAAAAGTGCAACTAGTTGCCAGCATTTATTTAATTTGCAGGGGTAAAGAATTACTATATTTTTAAGTGGAAATACCACTACTAAAACAGAATGCTATAAGTAGAATGATTCCTTTTGTTTCCATAGACTATCATATAATAATGAGTGATGCCAAACTAATAATAAAAGGGGCATTTTTAGCTGCAACTTTGGGGAGTAAGATCAGCATTGTAAAATTCCTCAGTTATCTCAGGGTGAGCCCCGGCTGCAAGTATCACCTGCAAATATGCTCAGGGCAAATGGGAAATGGATTAAAAAATAAATGGTTAAGGACCGTTGCTTTACAACATAAATACAGTACCTATCACAAGCAATAAATGTTGGTGGGGCTGTGGGGAAAAAGGAACTCTTCTCACTGTGGATGGGAATGTGGACTGGGGCAACCACTGTGGAAATCAATGTGTACATTCCTCAAAGAACTAGGATGCTAGGGCTCACTTGACCCAGTTATTTGCCTTCTGGGTAACTTCCCAAAAGAATTAAAAGCAAAAGAATTGAAAATCACACCACACCCCATGTTTATAGCAGCATAGTTTATAATAGCTAAATCCTGGAGACAGCCCAAATGCCCATCGCCTGATGAATGGATTAAAAAAGATGTGTTTTTTTTTAATACAGTAGAGTACTAGAAAGATAAATTTGAGACATATTTAGGTAAATGGATTCATCTTGAGACCATACTCTTAAGTGAAATAAATCAGACATCCATGTAAATACTGCGTTATCTCTCTGGGGTAAGAAGCTGAGAGTGTAAATAAGGACCAAAATGTATAATAGATATTGTGAAACAGGAAGAAATTGTTCAAAAGGAAAGGGGAACTAGGAAGGGTGGAGGGGAAAAGAAAGGAAGGGAAAAGGAAAAAAATGAGAAAAGAAGGATCAAATGGAAACAAAGCTTTGTAAATGAGGAGGGAAAGAGGGGTTGAAGAGAGGAGGGGAATGGGAATCAAGCTGTATCATGCACAGGTACAAATTCCCTATGATGAATATGATTATTACGTATATCTAAATTGTACCAATAAACATAATAAAGTAAAATATAAATACCTTATCAGTCAGTGTGATGCCCCACCCATTGGAATTGTGATCTGGGTCCCAGTACTCTTGCAAATACACATGTCTTTTGAGACGTAGGAACTGGTTTGCTGGGTCTTCCAAAAAAAATGGTGCTCCCAATGCTTCTGCAATTCAGAGTTCAAGAGCACAGCATTTTTAGGGCAATGGTTTACATCTCAGTGTTTCTTTCTTTTTTTTTTTTTTTTTTTTTTTAGATGGAGCTCAGGACCTTGTGCTCATGAGGCAGGTGGCAGCACCACTGAGCTAAATCCCTGGCCCTCAGTGTTCCTTCTTACCAAGATGCAGGTATAGTCTTTGACAGGCTGCGTTCTTGAGAAGCCCTGAGAGAGATGGCTGCTCCTCATTCCTTTGTTACCCTTGCACTGTCACCACTCTATTTGATCTGCATATGATCCAGCTTGAAGCCAGTAAATGGAGGATTTCTCTTGCCTTGTCTTTTCTTTTGCTTTCTATTTTTTTTTTTTTTGAGACAAGTTCTCACTATGTAGTTCAGGCTGGCTTTAAGCTCACTGTGTAGCCCAGGCTGGCCTTGAACTTGTATCAATCCTCTTGCCTCAGCTTCCCAAGTGCTGGCATTACGGTGTGCACCACTATAGCTGGCTAGGATTTCTGTTTCTACAAAAAACATAGAAGCTTGCAGGCCATGGTCAAAATTCCAGGTCTGTCAAGTTTTAGGTAATTTACTTTGATTATTCTGAGCTTTAGTGTTCTTGTTTGAAAGGGAGGGAGTACAACACCAATAATATCATATCAGATAATTGTAAATACTTGAAAAATTAATGGCTATATGCTGCCTTAAATCAGTCAACAATTTTATCTTTGCGTTCTTAGCCCTCAGAAATAGAACACGTCCTTCATTTTGAAACAGGCAGTTCTCAAGTCTGACACTGTGGTTTAAATTGTTACCCTTGATCAATTGTCATTAAATCAAACAAAACAGCTTATAATTTGTATGTCCTTCCTGCTCAGGATTATGAAGGAGAAAAAGATGATAACTTTTAAAATCTAGACTTTCTTAGGATCTTGAAATTTTTATTATTTTTATTCCTAAATAAAACAAATCACGTTCAGAACTGTGACTTTAATCACTGCCAAGGAAGAACACAATTACACCTTGCTTGAATGTGGCAACAATACAATCTATTCCTCCTCCACTTTAAAGAAACGTTTTTTTATTAATTTTTTGTCAGTTTCAATTGAGTTTATTGGTACATTTTATGGATACAGTACAGTTACATTCATTGTTGGGATCTTGTACTTCTACATGACAAGTCTTGGTTCTCATATTTTCCCCTTGTCCCTGCCCTCCCTTCAGCCCCTCCTCCCTTCCCCATCTACAACCACTTTATTTCCATCTTTTCATTATCTCACATTTTTCCCCTTTTTACCCTTCCCCTACCCGTCCCACCTTCCCTACACCTTTAGCTCCTTTCTTCCCATTTCTTAATGTCAGTAATCTTATTAGGATCTTCTGTATTATTGCAGATTATTCACACTAGAGAAACTATTTGGTATTTACACATGTGTGACTTATTTATTTCACTTAGGAGTATATCTTCAATATGTATCCATTTTCCTATGAATGAATCTATTTTCTCATTCTTTATGGCTGAGTAATATTCCATTTTATAGAAAAACCACATCGTCTTTATCCAGTTTCCAACTGATGGGCAAATGGGCTGTTTCCAAGTTTTAGCTATTACAAACTGTGCTGCTATAAACATGGGTGCACATACTTCTCTGTGATATGATTCTTTTAGTTCTTTTGGAAAGATACCCAGCAGAGGGATGGCTGGGTCAAATGGAACCTCCAGTCCAAGCTCTTTGAGGTATCTCCATATTGATTTCCACAGTGGTTGCACCAGTCTGCACTCCCACCAACAGTGGAGAAGGGTTCCTTTCTCCCCACAACCCTGCCAACATTTGTTATTGTGTGATTTCTTGATAGTAGCCATTCTTTCTGGGGTGAGGTGGAATCTCAATGTTGTTTTCATCTACATCTCTCAAATGATCAGTGATGTGGAACATTTTTTCATATATTTACTTGCTGCTTTTACTTCTTTGAGAAATGTCTGTTCATTTTGGATGCCCATTTTTGAATCAGGGCTTTATATTTGTGGGGGCTGATTGTTTTGAGTTCTTTATATATCCTTGATAATAGTCCTTTGTCTGAGGAACAGCTGGTAAAAATTTTTTCCCACATTATAGATTGTATCTTAGTTCTGCTGATGGTTTCTTTTGAAATACAGAAGCTTTTTAATAAGATGAGATCCCAGTTGTTGATTCTACCTGCTAGTTCCCGGGCTACTGAGGATTTGTTCATAAAGTCTTTTCCTATGCCAATGTCTTCTAGAGTTCTGCCTAACTTAATTTCCAGCAAGTTTAATGTTTCTGTTTTAATATTTAGATCTTTAATCCATTTGGATTTTAATTTAGTGCATGGTGAAAGGTAAGGTTCTAGTTTTAATCGGTGGCAGGCTGACATCCAGTTTTTCCAACACCATTTATTAAAGAGGCTATCTTTCCTCCACTGAGGATGTTGAGCTCCTTTGTCAAAGATGAGGTAGCTGAGTACATCTGCATTTGTTTTTGTGTCTTCCAGTCTGTTCCACTGATCCTCAGGCCTATTTCTTTGCCAGTACCATGCTGATTTTATCACAGTGGCTTTGTAATATAGTTTCAAATTGGGAATTGTTATACCTGGTGCCATGTGTCTGTTGCCTAAAATGGCTTTTGCTATTCTAGATCTCTTATGGTTCCAAATGAATTTTTGGATTCTTTTTTCTAGTTCTGTGAAATATAGTGTTGGAATTTCAATTTGCATTGCATTGAACCTGTATAGCAGTTTTGGTAGTATGGCCATTTTCACTATGTTGATTCTTCCTACCCAGGAGCAGGGGATATCTTTCTATTTTTTAATATCCTCTTCAATTTCTTTTTTCAGAGTGCTATAGTTTTCAGTGTAGAGATCTTTTGCTTCTTTTGTTAGATTGATTCCTAGATACTTCATTTTTTTGGATGCTATTGTAAAAGGAATTTTTTCCCGTATTTCTCTCTCCGTGAGTCTGTTATTTGTGTATAAGAAGGCTATTGATTTTTGGGTGTTCACCTTGTATCCAGATACTCTACTGAATCTGTCAATTAAGTCTAGAAGTGTTTTGGTGGAGTTTTTTGGGTCTTTGATGTAGAGTGTCATGTCAGCAGCAAATAAGGAAAGTTTAACTTCTTCCTTTCCTATCTTTATTGCTTTAATTTCTTTCTCTTGTCTAATTGCTCTGGCTGTTTCCAGAACTATATCGAAGAGGAGTGCTGATAATGGGCATCCTTGTCTTGTTCCTGATTTTAACATGAAGGTTTTCAGTTTTTGGTCATTTAATATGATGTTGGCTGTTGGTTTTTCATAGATAGCCCTTATTAGATTGAGGTATAGACCATCTATTCTAATTTTTTGCAGGGTTTTTATCATGAATGGGTGTTGAATTTCATCATGTGCCTTTTCTGCATCTATTGAGAGGATCATATGGTTTTTGTCCTTGACTTTGTTAATATAATGTATTACATTTATTGACTTTCGTATGTTGAACCACCCTTGCATCTCTGGAATAAATCCGACTTGGTCA